GCCCGGGCCGGGCCGGGCGTCCTCCGGGGGCCCGCCCCTTGCACCGCCTCTCGGGCGAGGGGAGGGGAGGGACGGAGGAGCGCGGCGCCGCCCAAGCTCGATTAGCGTGATCGTAAGATTAGCAACCCTTTACTAAGCGCTCAGTATTGGAACGTCTTCTGTACGCGCTTGATGGAATCCTCACCCAACAGCTGCGACCTGTGCACCGTGACACATGCTCTCCCTCGGCTCGTGCGGGGCTGCTGCGCTGGCTTTGCGAGCCCATCTCGCGCTGATGAGCCCTCCCCGCCCCGCGCCTTCCAATCCAGCTGCTGAAGACCACAGCTGGAGAGCACCCGCCTCCGCGTAGTTGCTGGCGATCTCCCTCTGGCGGGACAAATTCCCTGCAGTCCCTCGCTGGAAGCAGCACAGCTGCGGGGGCGTCACGGGCGGGCTGTGTGTGTGTGTGTCGCACAATGACAAGATCGGGAGCATTCCTTCAGGGATGCACCTCTCCCTCTTCCTCTCCAAGCCTACAACTCGCTGGCATTACGCCCTTCTGGGTAGGTGGCAACCATATCTTTCCCACTGCTACAAACACAACTAAACTAAACAATTAGCCCCCACGGGCCACTTTCACACCAGTGGTCCCCGCGATGCCTGTGGACACCTCCATCGCAGCAGCCCTTAGCTCAAGACCCAGCTGCTGGAGATCTCGGAGCTAACGCCTTCCTGGCCTGGTCTCACAGCACCTGGGCTCATCTCCATCCGACCTCCCCAGCCTTGCTGGCTTCCTTGCCTTGCGTCGGTTCTCTGTGCATCTTTTAGCCCAACACAGAGATTCTCCTTTTGTCGGGTAGATTTGCTCTTCAGCTAATTAAGGATTCCACGGTGGGTTTGGGGACAAAGCGCATCCAAAAATGCTTTATAATAAAACAGGAAACATAAGTGTTTCCCAAGTTCTGTGAGCCATTCTAGCAATCATCAGATCTGAGGAAAAGGTGGTGCAATCCCTGCAATTACAGGCAGCGGTAAGAGCAGGGAGGCCCGGAGTTGGGGCTGGCGTTTGAACGGAGTCCGTGTTGAGGAACTGAGCACTTTAAACCTGTGATCCGACATAACTCAGGTGGGGAGGGTCAGAACTGGATTTAGCTGCAGGACAGCAACTGAGCTACACGGAGAGTTGAGGAGGTGTCCCCCCTCATTTTGGTGGCCAGAAGTAAAGCTCTGAGCACAGCAGAGAGGAAGCAGTGTTTTCCTTGCCCCGCGTTGTAATTCAGGATCCTCACCTGTGTCTGTCCAGACCACTGTGCTCACCGCCTGTCATCAGAGCACTCCCTCTGCTCTGCGCCCTGCCTCCACGGCCACTCCCGGTTTAACCCCCTGAAGTGGCCCAGCAAGGCCCCTTGTCTGCCAGGTGAAATTCAGCCCCATCCTAACCTTCGACATTGGCTCTGACGCTGCCCTGACCAGCTCCTCCCTTCTCTCCATCATTCATCGCCGGCCACTCTGGAGGTCTGCCAGGACCTTCCTCGGCTCAGCCCATTTCCTAGCACCACTTTGCTCCCCAAAACGTCTCCTGAGCTCCTGAACCCAGGCTGTCCTCACACTGACATTCTGATCACACTCTGTAACTTTCTAGGAGAAAAATACAGTGGACCCTCCAGTTACGACAGGTTTGACGAAAAAACAACTTGGGTTATGATTGGAATTTTAGTGTGAACTTAACAACCAGTCTTGAGTTAGGACCCGAATGTGGCCGCTTGTGCTTCCAGATGGCCTCAGACACAGATTTAACCCTTAAAGAGTTCTGGGAGGGACGTTACAACATCCTTTCCTGTGTGGGGTTAATTGAGAAATCCAGGGCAGTGTCTCTCTGAGAACACTGGGACCCACCTGTGTACGGAGAGAGACTTCGGAGGCTGTGCGGAGGAGCCAGAGCCTTCAGTTGACAACTTGAGTTACAACCAGCCCTAGGGTTCCTAAGTCAAGGTCCACTGTATGAGGCCTCTCATGGTATAAGTATTTTTGTAGCTTGCCTCACCCCGCGTTAGACCATGAACTCTCTGAGGGCCAAAGCTTGTTCATTCTTCATATTCCCTGGAATGTCAGTTCTTGTTGTTTTTGTTTACTAAATACTGGTATCTGCTAGCATCAAGGTGCTTTATAGGGATTACCTCATGCAATACCCCCAGGGAGTCATCTTCCAAGGTCACTCAGTTGATGAGTGACCAAACTGGGATTTGAACCCAGTGTTCTGACCCCGGGACTCATGCTCTGAAACTCAAGCTATGTTCAGTCCTGGGGGCTATTAAACCATGTCCAAATCTTAAGACATTCATTTTAGAAGTAAGTGTGCAAACTGGGGTGTGTGACACCCCAATATCACCTTTTTGGAAGTCCCCCTACATTTATGATGAATTTTAGACACATTCTTGCTTTGTGATTCCGCCCTCTGCAAGCCTTGCCTCCTTAGGGAAATGTGTGTGTCACCCAGCACCTGTCTGCTGCTGTCAGACCTTTGCTCCTGGGCCTCCGCGCATTAGCCATAAGCAAAGCCTCTCTGCAGAGCAGTCACGCTGGAGCCACCCGGCTTCGGGTTTCATGGAGACATTTTCTGACCACAACTGTTTGCAAGACTCTGACTCATCTTCATTCTAGAAGAGAGCCAAGCCAAGCACCCTGCTAAATGACGAAACCTTTTAGCAAAAGGGAATCTGTGTTGGAAAAACTAGCTCATTGTGTGGAGGAAAAAGTAAAGCTGGGCTAGTACTTTGCACCACATAAAATGGTGCAGCACTGGTTCAATAAAGTCCTCAACATAAATGTCAAAACTCCAGAGCTAGAAGAACAAAATCAAAGAACTATCACTGTGACATTGCCTAACACAGAAGAGGGAAAAAAATTCTGACATCATCAAAATAAACCTCTTTTGATATATGGTATCTAATGAAGTGTACCGTAAATAAAGTTACAAGATAAACTCAGACTACAGGGAGATGTTTGTTTTGTCTAAAACTGACGAAGGATTAACCTCCAGATATACAAAGAAATTGACATGAGATACAAATAAAAATGGACAAGGTGTTCTCTTCCTGGTGCCTGGGCATAGGTACACACAGGAATGTTCAGCTGAATGAAGTGAGCAGATACAGCAAGGCCCAAATCCCTGGGAGTCAAATAAATGCAAGTTAAAACACTGATGTTGAACCATCTTGCATCCATCAGAGAGGCAAATACTAGAAAGAAGGTTGGCACTCCTTCTCGGGAAGCAAACAGGTACAATTTGAAAGAGTTTTACGAAATTGAGCATGCATCTACCACATGACCTAGCAATACCATTCTTCAACAGGTACAGCCCAGAGGCCACCCAGCCACACGTGGAGGGAAAACAGCTAAGAAAATGTACTAGTGCCATAAAAAACGGTGTCCTGTAGAGTGCCTGGGGTCCTACCTACAAAGGGCTCAAGATGTGTACTGATTGAATAAATGAACATCAGCAATGGTATTACCAAAATTATAGCAAATACATCCAGATATCCCCCCTCCCCACCACCCTTCCTCTTTGCCCTCCTCTCTCTCCCTCTCTCCCTCCCCTCCTTCTTTCCTTCCTATCTTCTTATGGTTTAGATCTAAAATGTTCCTCCAAATACTCACGTGTGGAAAGTGACTGGATCATGGGATGCTGTCCTCATCAGTGGGTCAGTCTGTGGATGAGTTCATAGCTGCCTTGCTGTTAGGAGGTGGGCCTGGCTGGAGGTGGGTCGCCGACAAGTGACCTAGAAGGATGCATTCTTGTTCCCAGCTACTCCCTTCTCACTCTGCTTCCTGGCTGCCATGGGGTGAGCAGCTCTTCCTCCGACAGACCCCTCTGCCATGCTGTTCCTGCCTTGGAGCCGGCTGACCATGGCTGACACCATGAGCCAAGGAAAACATCTTCTCCTTTAAGCTGTGGGTGTTGGGTGTTAAGTCACAGTGACCGGAGTGACTAAGACACCTTTTTTCTTTCCTTATTTTCTCCCTCCCTTCCTCCCTCCTTCCTTCCTTCCTTCCTTCTTCAAGTAGACTGTTATTTTCTTGGGAGAAAATGGGGTAGATTTTCCAAACAAACCCCCGAGGAGGACAGTTTGGGGGTGTCATTTACCTCCTGTTGCCTGTCTTCTTCCTCTTCAGTACTGTTCTTTAACTGGCTACCACCCAACCATGGCACTGCTCCTATTCTTTGTTAGCTGCTAACTTCTGTCAAGAGGAAGGCAGAAGTTTCATCAGTACTTTAGTGTGCATTTGTCTGATGTTCAAAAGTAAACCCAGAGGGAGGACAAACCCAAAAATGAATTTCTACTGGGAAAATTTCATGCCCTGGGCTCCTGCTGGGGATGGTCTTTACCCCAGCCCCATCCACATGTTCGTCCCTGCCGGACCCCCTCACATGGGAGGCAGACCCTGAGCTGCCCAACAAAACAGGCCAAGTCACAAAGAAATGAACAGACCAAAATCGTGTCTTAAGTGTTCAAACTTACCAATAATTTAAAAAATACAAATGAAGATAAGGGACTAATTTTCATCTATCAAACAGGCAGCATTACTATTTTTTTAAAAGATGAAACTTGATGTTGACAAAGAGGTGTCAAGGAAAAGGAAACTCTTTATTTAACCTGTGAAAGAGGGAAAGATACAAAATTATGGCAATTTAGTTTTACATACCCAAAGCCTTAAGGAAACCAAAACAGGTCAGGCATAGTTGCTTCATACCTGTAATCCCTGCACACAGGAGGTTGAGACAGGAGGATTGCTGCAAGTTTGAGG